GAATGTAGTCTGGTCTGGGGAGCAGAATAGCCTTGACCATAACTGGGGCAAAGTCTAAGCAGGAGGGGACTGTAGACAGGGACTGCAAGTCTCTTACTCTTTTAAGTGAGGTCAAAGCGTTACCTTAAGATTCAGCATCTTATCTGACACTAACTCCATGGGTTCGAAGGGAGCCTTCTTTAGAGCTCCAAGGACCAATGTTAGATCCCAGGAGGGAACTCGTGATTGGCAGATAGGCCTCAGCCATTTGACACCACACAAGAACCTAGTCTCTAAAGTATGTCTCCCTACAGAACAGGGCTGTCCAAACTCAGTCCTGGAGGGCCGGTGTTCTGCAGAGTTTAGCTCCAACTTGCCTCAACACACCTGACTGGAAGTTTCTATGCCTAGTAAGAGCTTGATTGGCTGGTTCAGGTGTGTTTAATTAGGGTTGGAGCTAAACTCTGCAGGACACCGGCCCTCCAGGACCGAGTTTGGACAGCCCTGCTACAGAGACTCCATCTACAAGTACAAGGCTAGCAGAGATAGCGGCCACATATACCATCAAAGTAGCAGGGGCCAACCCCGCTGAAAGACGCTCTTGTGGGAGCTCCAGCACTGTGCCAACTGGGCAGTTGACTGGGTTTCAAGTGGCACTGCTTGCACCAATTCTTAATCCCTTGCCATGATCCAGGTCCTTAAACAGGTCAGCCTTGTAGAACCCCCATGGTGTGCAGGGATGCACCAACCTTACCTGCTACCGCATACGCTTTGCCAATCAGATTAGATGTTATTCGGCACGGTTTACACCTGTTTCACACTGGATGTGCAAGCAGAGCAGAGGCAGGGCAGAAGCTGTGCATATGCAGAGCAGGACCAGCACGCGCATTTTTTTTGTGGTTTCACACTGGCAGTATTTTTGTCCTTTGAATTATGACTGGTAGCATACTCTGCTGTGATGCAGCCATGTTCACCTCCTACTGTCCCACACACATATGCATATAATATGCTGGGTAACACTTTATAATAACTTTTATTAATAAATCATTAACAAACATATAATGCTTAATGGATCATTAGTTAATATATAATCAAAGACTTAGAAACGTCAGATAATGTGCTTGTTAATAAACTTATTAAACATTACATAGTGTTAAAAAAAATCATTATTTCATGTAAGTTCAAATGCTTACAAATGTCATTAAACTTTCAATTCCATATGATCAAGCACTTATTAAAAATCTACAAATAATTTTAACTAAACTCAACTCAATTTTATTTATAAAGCACTTTCAACACCACAAAGTGGAACCAAAGTTCTGTACATAAAAATAAAATATAAACAATCATAAAACCAAAGACAGAAACCAATAAAAAGAAAAAACATAGCACACAAGAGCAAACAAACAACAACAATTTATGAAACATTTCCAAATGCTAAGGAAAACAGGTGAATTTTTTGCGCACTTTGGAAAGCACTAAGTGTAGGAGATTATTTAACAGACAATGGAAGGTCATTCCAAAGCCTGGGAACTGCAACAGAGAAAGCTCGATCACCTTTGCATTTCAAGTGACATCAAGGAACCATAAGGTTTAACTGATCATCTGACTGCAGAGACCTGTTAGATTGATACAGACCAATTAAATCAGAAATGTACTCAGGTGCTGAACCATGCAAAGCTTTAAAAACATATAGCAGCACTTTATATTGAATTCTTAATTGTACAGGTACATATGCCATAATTTTCATAGATCGAACCTAAAGGGAGCATATAAAGGGAGAACAAAATTGGTCCCAAAATTTAACCCTGAGGCACCCAGCACAAAAGAGGGGCGGCAGTTGAAGAATAATTCCCTAAGTTGACTGAGAAAGTCCTACCATTTAAATATGAAGAAAACCATTCCAAGGCTAAGCCCTGGATGCCAACCTAGTCTCTAAGACGATCAATAAGAATCTTATGATCTTAACAAATGTCATAAAATGATTTAAAGCTTGTGTTAATGCACAACACTTTTGCTGCTATTGAGGTGTAATATGGGTAAGGTTGGGGACAGGTTTGAAGGTATGGGTAGGTTTAAGGGTTAAAGGTTCAACAGTGCACAGGGGTCAATTTGATTATACACGGTTCACGATTCAATCTGTTTATATTATATTGAACCAATGGCGACAAAGCCCGCCAGAATGGGCGGAGCCATCTGGCTATATAAGAGGGCGTTCGCCACAGGATTCTCAGGTTACTTCGACTGAAGGGATGACTGATTTGTGCAGCTACATAGCATGGCTAGCAACGCAGTACTCGTTCCCATATCTCAGGGAACCGAGGTTACATTAGTAACCGAGTACATTCCCTGTCGATACTTCACTCGTACTGCGTCTTGCTAAAAAACGCTATGGGAACACAGTACAATCACGCCGTGCTATGGTAGAGGAACGACTGTATATTATAACCTCCATAAGCAAGAATGCCCATAGGGAGTTAAACAATGAACTCCAAGGCTAAAACGGGCTCAACTCCCCAAGGTCACACACGGCCTGGTAATCGTTCCAGAGTACTTGTACAACTTCGGCGCCCCCAGGGGCCGAGAGCCGACACGTAAACTAACCCAAGAGCTTGAGCGTGTTACGGTCAAAGACTCTGTTAGAACTGATTGCATAATGCAGTGAGTGTCTTCTTAAGCAGAAAGGACCCTGGCTTGTAAGGCCGGGACTTCTAGGTTATAAAACCTTGCAAATGTGGATGGTGAGGCCCAGCCGGCCGCCTCACAAATTCCCACAATGGACACACCGCTAGACCACGCCCAAGACGAGGCGATGCCTCTGGTCGAATGGGCCCATACTCCGATGGGGCATTGGCCATGAGTTTTTTTAAGGGGAGACACTGCAGGCAAAACACTGTTTTTACATGCACCTGTCAATTTTAAGATTTTGGGCTTTTCATAAAGTGTTCATGAAGACTAATGGAAAGAAAACATCCAAAAGATACTGTTAATTGTTTCTTTTATAGCACTTTATCTATTTGTGTCAATAGATTTGAATTACAATACATATATTTAAAGGCCATTTTCTCAAAATGAGTTTTTTCTCCTACACTCAGCCATAAATCTCCACTTCAGTAGCACTTACACACACCAAACTTGAAATTTTTATTCCTGTCTATATTCTGAAGGACGTCAGCCTCTGGCTTATAACTGCCACATTCAAATGTGGTTTTGCGTTGTGACGTCACTGTACATTCTAAAATCCCTTATGTGGGACCGTACTCCCAGGGGCACATACATATTACCTAATCTATTACCAAATCAAAACTTAACAGTCCAATGTCCTCTCCAACAGATATCTTTTTTTCTGCAAGTCTTGTGGGTTTACACATTTTCAATGTAGGCCTGAAGTCAGTTAAACTTGCTAATTATTGCAGGTTTTTATAGTTCAGTGTTTGTTTTCCTTGTGTGATTTTATGTAAAATAAGAAATGCAAAATCTGATTTGAAACTAAAACATGTCATTAGTTTGATCGGTACATACGTTTTGGCGTGTGGGTACTTGCAGATATGTGTCCCATTATTTTGTTTTTGTTTTAAAACATGAATTAGTCAACACAATACATTTTAAGATTTTTTTTCATTTATTAAGATATGTATTATATATCCATTAAATGTTAGCCTTTTGTGAAAATGACTTTTGCACATTGTGTGATGATTTTCCCATCACTGTCATCGTCAGAGCACATTTCTCATATTCATGGGTTCCGGGTGGCTAAAGACCCGAGGTATGCTTATAGGGGTTAAACATGAAAGTGTTTAATCGATTGAAGTGTTCAATCCAAGTGTTTAATTGGTCTTATAGGGTTTTAGAATATTATGTTATCTAAACTGTTAAGGTAAAGTTTCTCTGCCAACTTTATAAAAACAGATACAGGAGATACAGACCTGTTTTATTCCAAATTTATTTAGCTCTAATACTGAAATAGTGTAATTGCATTGTTCTGCCTGTGTTTACTAGTATTTTCATTGACTTTTAGTTTAAGTTACCAGTTTCCTGTGTCCCTTTGTTCCCGCCAGTCATTAGTGGCCATAGATATTCATTTAACAATAACACCTGTTAGTCTTTGATTTCATTATCATTGTGTATTTAAGTTCATTCTGATGTTAATCTGGTATTGTTTGTGTGCAGTGCACCCTGTCATGTTGTGTTTTCCATCTATTGGATTGCCTGTTTTTTTTTATAGAAATACTTGATCTTCTTAGCTTCTCCTTTAGTCTTTGGACTAAAACCTTACCATGTTCTAATAAATCAATAACAAAAGCTTTGTCAAGACAATAACCACAATATACAACATGACCTCAAGAGTACCGTATTGACCCAAATATAATACGATGTTTTTTTCTTGGAAATACATCTGAAAAAACGCGGTCGTCTTATATTCAGGGTCTAGACTTTGACATGTCAATAATAATTTTCGGGCCAATACGGTATATTTGATGAAATATTGCAGCTGTAAGTCACATTAAATGTCCTGGAAAATAATTTCTTGAAAAGAAAGAGTCCCCTTAAAAAAAATATTTTGAAAAAAAGAAATCAATAAACATATAGTATTTATAACAGTGTAAAAAAAAGATAAATTATGTTTTTTTTAAAACAAAAACTGTGCAATCATCAAATGAAAATTAAACATACATTGGACTAAAAAAGTGAAGACTTTGCATTTTCATTTTAGATGACTATCACACACCACTGGGATGATATAGTCATAAAATGTATTTATTTGGTTTTCCTCTTTATATGACGGCTACTCTAAAAATGTCATCTTATAATTATTGTTTCTTCATATATATAAATGACTGTACATCTATGCTGGTTATCTATAACAGTTACATTTATACAATACAATTTATTATAATATCCAATCCAAAGGTGATAACTGTAAATACAGTATTAGTATTCAGTTGTACAACTGGCAATTATTATATGTACTCATATAACATATATAACATAATTATTTAATTGTTTATTGTTTTGTTCAGATTACCAGGCTGTAGATTGACTGGTGAGTGCTGCGAAAGTTTGTCTTCAGCTCTCCAATCATCAAACTCCCATCTGAGAGAACTGGACCTCAGTAACAATGGCCTGCAGGATTCAGGAGTGAAGCTACTTTCAGATGGACTGAAGAGTTCACATTGTCAACTAAACACACTGAGGTTTGTCTTAATGGACACATGATTATTTAAATGAATAATTAATTGGGATTTACTAAAGTTTGTGGTAGTGAATTTACTAGTATTTGCGCCATTATTTAATGTCCCCAAAAAAGCATATCTTAACCCATTTTGATTTGACACAGTGTTATACAGAATTTACATTTACATTTAGTCATTTAGCAGACGCTTTTATCCAAAGCGACTTACAAATGAGGACAATGGGGACAATGGAAGCAATCAAAATCAACAAAAGAGCAATGATATACAAGTGCTATAACACGTCTCAGTTAGCTTAACAGTACACGTAGCAAGTTTTTAAAAAAATATAATAAAAAAAAAGAAAACAGATAGAATAGAAAAAGAATAGAGCAAGCTAGTGTTAGAGGCCTTTTCTGCTTTTGTTAATTGCATAATAAATAAAAAGAAAACAGATAGAATACAAAAAGATTAGAAAGCTATAGTTTTTTTTGTTGTTGAAGAAAACAACCAGCAAATGAATAGATTGCAAGTCTTTTTTTTAAAGAATAGAATTAGAATAGAGAGTGCTAGAGTTAGAGGGTCAAATAAAGATGGAAGAGATGTGTTTTTAGCTGATTCTTGAAGATGGTTAAGGACTCAGCTGCTGGGACTGAGTTGAGCAGGTCATTCCTCCAGGAGGGAACATTTCATTTAAAAGTCCGTGAAAGTGATTTTGTGCCTCTTTGAGATGGCACAATAAAGCGATGTTCACTTGCAGAACGCAAGCTTCTAGAGGGCACATAACTCTGAAGTAATGAATTTAGGTAAAGGGGTGCAGAGCCAGTGGTGGCTTTGTAGGCAAACATTAATGCCTTGAATTTTATGCGACCAGCTATTGGTAGCCAGTGCAAATTGATAAACGGAGCTGTGACGTGCATTCTTTTCGGCTCATTAAAAATTAATCTTGCTGCCGCGTTCTCGATTAATTATAAAGGTTTGATAGAACTGGCTGGAAGACCTGCCAAGAGAGCGTTGCAATAGTTAAACCTGGACAGAACAAGAGCTTGAACAAGGAGTTGTGTTGCATGTTCTGAAAGAAAGGGCCTGATCTTCTTGATGTTTAATAAAGCAAATCTGCAGGACTGGACTTTAGAGAATCTGGGCAGAGTTTCCATTATGTCAGCTATGATGCAGCATCTCATCCCTCATATCTGGTCACTGAAGTTCACTGTAGTGCTGTTGAATATAATTGAAACATTCATTAAATATTTTAAACTTTTAAATAAAATGAGATGTGTTAGGGCTGACACAAATGTTGTTTTCAAATACTCATTCTTCAGAAATGTTTCAAAGCTGCTTTATGGAATTAATCACAGCACTGAACTGTATATTTACAATCTGAAATGAAGATCAGACTGAAATGATCAGGGACCCAGTTTAAAATTATCCTGCTTCCTTCCCTGGAGGCGAGGGTGTTCTCATCAGGTAAAGTTCTCAAAAAAAAATGCAGGCAATGAGTGCAGCACTGCTGAAGGAAGTTGCCGCCACTCATGCACTCAACCAAAGAATGTGTGTTTGCCTTACTACATCCCTTCACCTGGACTAAAGACTTCCGTTACTCCATTACCTTCACTATGATCTTACTCACCTGAAGGACATAGAAGCTAATCATAATGTCATGTAGTTCAACTAGAGTTAATCTACTCGTTTGATAAAGTAGTTAGCTACAATACAAGCTAGTGATGTCTAAAGTAATGGTACTAATGTATGCAAAAATAAAAAAGCATTGGTGATACAATACTGTGATTAATACCAGTGGACATTAGCAAAGTGAGAGGGCCTTAGCCATCTGGTGCCTCTTAGGATTCTGCTGACCAAGGGATTTCTACCATGTCACCAGGGGAGGGACTGCATCACCACATATGTTAAGGTACTCTTGAGTTGAACTAGCACTGGAGCGGTCTCATGCATAACAGTCAAAATTGGATGGTGATGGCCATAACAAGCATCAACTGGTATCCACTGGAATATCCACATTAGCAGAGCTATGTCAGTCTTGTACTTGGTCAAGTAAAGCACAGTGGACTGGATATGAGAGTCTAACAAGTGAAACTCACAAAGCCACCGAGTCAAGTTTCAAATCTAAGAAGATAGCTAGCTGCCAGGGCACCAAAATTCTCTTGTTTTTTATACTAGGCAATACAAATATATCAGCAGCAGATGTCAGTGTGTGCACACTACCTCCTCTGATTGGGCCAGAACCAACTTTCTCTATTTCACAGTTGTGGAGGAGAGATCGAAGCTTTTGGTTCAGTATCAGCACTACCTGCACTGGTGCAGTGGCAAAAATAACACAGTTGAAGTGAAGCTACAGTAAGCTACAAGCTCTGTCCTTCTGTAGACGGCTTCTGCAAAAAATCAGCCACCCTGAAGCAAGGAATTTCATCATCATGTTGCTTCATTTAACACAAGTATTCACTTTGAATAGACAGAAGAAGAGAGTGTCACTTACTGTAGTGTCAAGTACTGGCGTAGCATCAGACTGACAGACTTCAAAGGAAACCATAAATAATTGACTTATAGTAGTTTACTTTTTCTTTTGGAAGAATAACAAATTCCATAGAAAATTCCTCCTTTAAAATATTTTTGATCTTAAGGCAGAAGTGATCATTGCAAATGCCAGTCAGAATGTGTCATTTTAAAGGTGTTGTGACAGGAGTTACTTACTACTTTATTGTTCTGTTTAGGTTGGTCACCTGTAATATCACTGGTCAGTGTTGTGAAAGTTTGTCTTCAGCTTTACAGTCATCATACTCCTGTCTGAGAGAGCTTGACCTGAGTAACAATGATCTGCAGGATTCAGGAGTGATGCTGCTTTCAACAAGTCTGAAAAGTTCACAATGTCAACTGAACATACTGAGGTAAAGATAAAGATTTACTCTCATCAAACTAAACGTCAATTGTGTCCTGCTCTTTACTCCTTGGAAGCTTGTTATGTCTTAGCAGTACCTGGTTGCTGCGTTTGCTCTCATCTAAAGTATTGCTAATGTCTATTATAATTATACCTTATGTGTAAATAATATAAAAACCCTGTAGGCCAACTTCTCTCATGGTCATTCCATTCACAAGAACTTGGTAAACTAGAAATGCTTTGTAATTCAAGTAAGGTCACTTCATTTTACAAAATGTGTTTATTCGGAACACCCTGCAATGTCATCATACTCAGATGAAACTCCAGTATTACATATTTTAAAAGTTTGAGGTATGACAACATATACTTCTGTAAATAAATACAGTGTACATTATATATAGCTTCAGGTTTTTTACTTCCATAATTGTATTCATAAATGTCAGTAGTGCCCTTTGAACTGAACACGATCCCTTCAGATTGGAATCTCACTCAAAGGTCCCATATTGTCAAAACTGAAATTTTCTGGCTTTTTTCAC